AAAAAAATTATCTAGTGAGGTCAAACTGATAACCACAACCCTAAAAAATAAAATTAAAAAAAGATCTGTCCTGAAGTACAATGCTGTCAGTGATAGGATAATATCCATACACCTACAAGGAAGACCAGTTAATACAACTATTATTCAAACTTACGCACCAACCATCAAAGCCAAAGATGAGGAAACTAAAGATTATTATCAACTTCTGCAGGCTGAAATTTGACAAAACGTGCAATCAAGATGTGTTAATTATCACTAGTAACTGCAAAAGTTGGAAACGAAGAATCACCGGTAGTTGGAAAATTTGGACTCGTTGACAGAAATAATGCAGATTGCATAATAGAATTTTGCAAGACCAGTAACTTATGCATTGCAAATATATTTTTTTTTAACAACACAAACGATGGCTATACATGTGGAATTCACCAGATAAGAGTACACAGGGATCAGATTGACTACATCTGTGGCAAGAGGTTGTGGAAAAGCTCAGTTATCTTCAGCCAAAACAAGGCCAGGAACTGATTTCCATGGAACAGATCATCAACTGCTCATATGCAAGTTCAACTTGAAGATAATTAAAACAAGTCCACGAAAACCAAAATATGACCCTGAATATATCCCTCCTGAATTCAGAGACTATCTAAAGAATAGATTTGATGCCTTGAACACCAGTGAGCGAAAACCAGAATTGTGGGGATGACATCAAGAATATCATCCATGAAGAAAACAAAAGGTCATTAAAAAGACAAAAAAGACCAAAACGGATGTCAGAAGAGACTCTGAAACTTGCCCTTGAGTGAAGAGTAGCTAAAGCAAATGGAAGAAATGACAAGATAAAACAGCTGAACAGAAGATTTCAAAGGGCAGCTGGAGCAGACAAAGCCAATTACTGTAATGAAATGTGCAAAGACCTGGAGTCAGAAAACCAAAAAGGAAGAACATTGTTTGCATTTCTCAAGCTGAAAGAACTGACGAAAAACTTTAAGCCTCAAGTTGCAATCTTGAAAGATTCTGTGGGCAAAACATTGAATAATACAGGAAGCATCAAAAGAAGATGGAAGGAATACATAGTCACTGTACCAAAAAGAACTGGTAGATCTTCATCCATTTCAGGAGGTGGCCTATGTTCAAGAACCAGTGGTACTGAAGGAAGATGATGAAGCTGCACTGAAGAAATTAGCAAAGAACAAGGCTCCAGGAATTGATGGAATACCCACTGAGATGTTTCAACAAACAGATGCCCCACTGGAGTCACTCACTTGGTTATGCCAAGAGATTTGGAAGACAGCTACCGGGTCAACTGACTGGAAGAGATCCATGTTTGTACCCGTTCCAAAGAAAGGTGATCCCACAGAATGTGGAGATTATTGAACAATATCATTAATGTCACATGCAAGTAAAATCTTACTGAAGATAATTCAAAAACGGTTGCAGCAGTATATTGACAGAGAACTTCCAGAGGTGCTAGCTGGATTCATAAGAGGACATGGAACAAGGGATATCGTTGCTGATGTCAGATGGATCTTGGCTCAAAGCAAAGAATACCAGGAAGATGTTTACTTGTGTTTTACTGACTATGCAAAAGCATTTTATTGTGTGGATCATAACAAATTGTGGGTAACATTGAGAAGAATGGGAATTCCAGAACACTTAATTGTACTCACGAGGAACCTGTACATAGACCAGGAGGCTGTCATTCCAACAAACAAGGGTTTAAAATCAAGAAGGGATTGTGTCAGGGTTGTATCCTTTCACCATACTTATTCAATCTGTATGCTGAGAAAATAATACAAGAAGCTGGGCTTTATGAAGAAGAACGTGCCATCAAGACTGGAGGAAGAATCATTAACAACCTGCGATACGCTGACGATACAACTTTGCTTGTTGAAAGTGAGGATGACTGGAAGCACTTACTGATGAAAACTGAAGAATATAGTCTGCAGTATGAATTACGTCTCAATATAAAGAAAACAAAAATTCTCACAAACTGAACCTATAAGCAGCATCACAATGAATGGAGAAAAGAGTGGTTGTCAGAGACTTCACACTACTTGGTTCTACAATCTATGCCAATGGAAGCATCAGTCAGGACATCAGACGACAGACAGCACTGAGCAAGTCGGCTGCAAAGGACCTCTTCAAGGGCTGAGGAGCAAAGATGTCTCAGGACTAAGGTACACCTGACACAAGCCATGATATTTTCAATCACCTCATATGCATGTGAGAGCTGGTCAATGAATAAGGAAGACTGAGGAAGAGTTGATGCTTTTGAGTTGTGGTGCTGGCAAAGAATGCTGAAACTACCATGGACTGCTAAAAGAGCTAACAGATCTGCCCTGGAGGAAGTGCAGCCAGAATGCTCCTTGGAAGCGAGAATGGACAGACTTCCTCTCACCTTTGGTCATGTTGTCAGAAGGGACCATTCCCTGGAGAAAGATGTCAGGCTTGGTAAGGTGGAGGGTCGACGAAAGAGGGAAAGGCCTTCAACGAGATGGATTGACACAGTGGCTGCAGCGACTGGCTCAAATACAGTAAGGTTCATGGAGCTGGCGCAGGACCACACGATGTTTCGTTCTGCTGTGCAAAGGGTCGCTATGAGTCAGAGACAACTGGACGGTGCTGAACAACAACAACTACTTGTCCTGATGTGGCTTGGTTCTAACCTACCCATTCCCGGATCTAATATTCTAGTATTTTTTTGTTGTTGTTTTAGAATCAGCTTTCTAATCCCACCTTGTACACAACTCAACTGGCCTTTAGCACTAGTTAACTGCTGTGGTTTGTTAAGTTGGCTGCTAACCTAGATTAGTAAGAACCTTTTTCTTATATTAAATAGTATAACAGCTTTTTCTATACTACTTTTCTTCAGTTTGACACACCTGAAGTACCAATGACACCCAACACAAATTAATCCAATGTTAGAGTCACCTTCCTTCTTACAAAGGTTATAAATTTTAACACACTGTCCCAGATTTTCACTTCCTATCATTTCAATTATACTTAAGTTGGTTTTTATAAATAGTTTTTCCAGCTTAAATTTTTTATAGCCAAAAAATTGTTCTCTCACATCTTATTGCTATGGTACAAATACAGCTGGCAAAAAAAGTTCCATAAGAATTTTATACTAATGAGTCTTTTTGTAATTTTTCCAAAATATTTATTATAAAAAAATTATACAAACTGCCTTTTTATTACAATTAAAATAATGAAAAATGTTAAATAATTTGTATCTTCCCCCAAAAAATGGGTTCTTTTATAATCCTTGCTTGCAGTGCATTTTGATGATACAGAAAATAACTCACAAACATTTAATGTAACTTTGTTAAAATGTACAAAGATATAAGTGTCCCTATAATGAATCATAAAAAACTTTTTTTTCTCCAAGTTTAAGTGTTAATGAAGTTGAATTACAGAAAAAAATAATAAACGTCTGCATATAATTTTTCAAGGCAAAAGTTATTAGTTTATATTTCATTTTGTTTCGTTCTTCTGAGAACATTTTTAACAGCAAAAGTTAAGGATTTTCCAATAACCTGTAACTTCAAAAATCTATTGTACTTCGAGGGGAAAAAAAAAACATAAAGAGCAGCATTTACATAGTGGTTAACTCACAAAGAGTATGCAGCAACCATAAAAGACCTGGTTATCAAGTCCCTGAATCTCCAAACAGTGGCAAATTCAATATAACATTTCAATAAACCTTCCTCCTTCCCATGTTTAGATAGATGAGAGAAATGTTCATGAAATTATTAAAAGAAATATCATGGTTCTATAGGAAAACCATAATACTGTTATTTGTAATGCATATTTAAAATGTAACTATTTAATGGGATAGGTTGATCACATATTTGTAAACTAAAAGGTAATTTCAAAATTAACAAAATTCAAAAATTTACCAAAAGGTAATTAATTTCTCAAGCATTTTTAAATAAGAAAAACTTCCCTATGATCAACTTAAGGAGCTCTGGTGGCACAGTGGTTAAAGCATTCAGTTACCAACCAAAAGGTTGGCAGTTCAAACCCACCAGCAGCACTCTGTGGCAGGAAGATGTGGCAGTCTGCTTCCATAAAGATTTTTAGCCTTAGAAACTATGGGGCAGTTCTACTCTGTCTTCTCTACGTAGAGTCACTATGAAAGGAAGCGACACCATAGCAATGGGTTTTGGGTTTTATCACTAACTTCTGTCTGTCTCTCTCACAGAATAATCCTAATTTCCTTGGCATGCCTTTACCATGTAGCAATAAAGAAACCATAATATCGTGCAAAGCACACATATAAACTACTCTTTTATTAGACTTGTAGTCAGGATACTGAAGCAGTCAGAGCATGAACGCCACAGCTGAGACAATGTTTAGTTTGTATGTCAAGCTCACGGTGACCAAGCCCTTGCATCTACAGAAGCAGGGGTGTTCTCTCTCCAGCTGACTGTTCTTCCTGGAAGAACTCTCTGATGCGAGCTAATCGGCCATAAAACCTTTCTCTCAGCGGAGGGATGTGGTAACTAGGGTCCAGGATGTTCGTTATTCTGCGCTCTCTTTCTCGCTTCCATAACTTGTAAGGGTGGGGTGGGAAAAATGGTTGACCTCTTTCTCTTCGAATCTGTAACGTAATTCCACTTACTGCCAGCATTACCCATACTGCCAGGATAATAAAGTCTAAAAAAAAAAACCAAGAATACAGTTTCAACTCTTATGTTTTAAAATCTAACATAGATTTAACACTTAACCCCTTCATGGCTTAAATTTGTGTCTTCCTTTCTCAGTAAGATCAGCCTTTCTGTTGAGTTAGTCCCAATATATACAAGCAATCCCCAGTTACAAATGAGATCCATTCCTTAACTGTTCCTTTAAGTGGAATTTTTAGGTGAGTCCAAACAGGTGCATCTTATTTATTCTTACTTTGGTGCAAGAAAACTTTCAAAGCCTTTTCAATGATTTTAAAAGCTGTACATGAAGCAAGTGCAGGTGACTGTGATAAAGAATTTCTTATAAGTAGGGGTTAAATCTTTCCAAAGTGAGGGCAAATTTACGTATCATGAAAGGGCATGCAGATCTTGTCAGATGTTAGTAACCCAAGGACTGTCTATAAATTATTTCCTCAGTTATAAACCAAGGAATGAGTTATGGAAGCTATATTCTTATATTTGATACTAGGGATTTTCTATTACAGGTATTTGAAAATTTACCCAGGTTGTAGAATAGTGAATTGTGTGGCTCCTTGGCATTCCAACATTACCAGTGTCTCACAGAACAGTGGTTGGTTGTTTTCTTCCAGAGGGAATGGGGAAGACAGCAGCAATCTAGATATACTTCACATAAATAGATCATGGTACATCAGGAGCCACCACACTTGCCTCTTTCATTCCACTGTGAAGAATTCTGACTAGGTAGGACTGACACAGCTTCCTGAAAATACTGGCAAAGGCCTTGTCCCACTCATTTGGGCAGATATGGAAATGCATGAAGAGAGTCAACTGAGATTGCACTGAGCTTTTCTAAGTAAAAGTCTTAGCAAAAACAGTGCTTTGTACAAAACTTCCAAGACTAAGATTTCAAGGTCTCTACCATCAACCTCTTATCCACTGAGGGCTGGTTCTGGGTAGCACAGATAAAGATTTGTTCTTTTTTTTTTCTTTTTAAAAAAAAACAAAAAGTCATGATTGTGCTTATAACCACATTATCTTCAATTCTAAGACAGGCTTTTCTCTAGCTTCCATATTGTAACATTTCTAAAATCAAGACATAGTGACTTTAAAATATTTGTGAGAATCATTTTTCTCTTCAAAAAGTTGATAAAAATCTTTAATTAATAGAATTTTAAAATTGAAGCAGTCTGCTTAAGATTTACAGCCTTAGGAAAATTCAATGGGGCATTTCTCCTCTATGCTTATAGGGTCGTTATGAATCAGAACTGACTCAATGGCAACCAGTTTGATTTTGATTTCCAATTGAGGAAACAGTATACTTCTTGATTGAAAATCACCTGCAGTTTCAATTAGCAAATTGTTTACTTAATTAAAGGAGTAGGAAAAGAGGAAATAACTAAAAAAATTACATCACATTGCCGTTCTTATTCCTCCCTTTCTCTCTCCTCCCCCTATACAATGTGAAATGCTTTCTTTTCAGCATTTTTCTCACAACTGGGAATTGACCAGATAAATCTATGTAATCGTAGCTTAGAATTTCATAACAAAGTTCAATTAGTGGATTTTTTAGAAGTATGAACTTCAGCCACAAAGGAATTTAAATTCTTAGCCCCATGATCATAAATTATCATTAATAAAGGGCTCTAACAGCATTTGTATGGTGTGAATTTTGAGCATTTGTCAAACTTACCCTCCCCTCCTTCAATCTGAGATAGCAGTACTTTTGTCTGGTTTTTGGATTTAAAGACCTACCAGTAGTTTGAAAAGGCACATTTGAGAAAGCTCTGCGGAAATCTGTGTTGAGCGCTCTGTTGAGTACATTCAAAGTGATGTAGGAAAGGCTCGTGTACAAGTAACTGTGAATGGCCAAAACCACCGAATAGGAGCCAATGATTCCACAAGTCAGTATGTTCAGCTGCAGAAGAGTAGAAGAATTTAGACATCATCCCTGGTAGAACAAAAGTACCTTCTCTCATCTTTGGACTCAATCACAGGGAATATATTTCAGGCACAAACACAAAGGGGGAAAAAAAAAAAAAAAAAAAACCTCACTGCTGTCGAGTCGGATCTGACTCATAGCGACCCATTCTTGGGTTTCCAAGGCAGTATCGCAAGGAAGTAGATTGCCCAATCTTCCTTCCAAGAAGTGGCTGGTGGGGTTGACCCACCAGCCTTCTGGTTAGCAGTCAAATGCTTTAGGCACTATGCTACCAGAGCACCTACAGAGAAGCCAAGACTTGCTAAATAAAGATTACCTATAAAGATAAACTGAAAACAACCCCTAATATCCATAGTGAAGTCTTAAAACACACTTTATGATGAGAAAATATTATAGAAAATACCTTCCTGGTGAAAAAAGTTCAAAACTCAAGTCTAATTAGATGAAGGACCATTCTTCCACAGACAGCTGAAAATAATAATCCTTTAAGTTTTGTACTACAAAAAGGCCTGTCTACTCTGCTTTCACTGTTAAAAGCATATTGACACTGATAACCTGCTCAACTGGATGGGAAAAAAAAAAATCACTGTGATAAGCATAAATAGAACTTCTCTTGCTTTCATAGTAACAAGGTTATTCAGAATCAGTCATCTCATGTAAATTATCATACAGCCCTCCTCAGTGAATAAAATATGAAAAACGATGTAACAAATAATCAACTGAGAGCCAAGGACTATATAATAAACAAATCTAACTTTTGATCAAACACTTACTATTCTGAGGCAGCCCATGAACACCACTGGAATGATAATAGCTATACAAGAGAAGGACAGCCAAAATACAAGATCATCACGGAAAATCTTCAGATTTCCTAGGGGGGTTAAAAAAAAACAAAATCAAGAGTGAAAAACAGGTTTACCAAATTAACTTCATTTTCCCAACATCTGATCAGACATACATCAAAGATTTAAATAACCAGGAAATATCTAGGCAAGTAGAAAAGAATTCTAGTCTTCCTCTCTTCTCTAAGCACTCTCACTCCAATGCTTCCAGTCAGATCCTGGGCTTTTTTTTCTTCTTCATTTCTTGAAGCTCCCTTATTTTACTGATTAGTGGCATTAAAACAAACAAAAAGAATCTGATTTTCTTCATTTAACTGTCAGTACAATCCTCTTTGATAGGGATATCCTACAAATGAGTGAGAGAGAATGATTAGGCAGATAAATGCTCTGTGCCTATTACCAGGATAATGTAGAAAGCCAGTTATTCAGGAAGCTCTGATGGCACAGTGGTTAAAGCATCTGGTTGCTAACTGAAAGGCTGGTGGTTTGAACCCACTAGCCACTCCACAGGAGAAATATGTGGCAGTCTGCTTCCGTAAAGATTTACAGCCTTTGAAAACCCTGTGGGGAAGTTCTATTCTGACCAATGGTGTCACTGTAAGTCAGAATCAACTCAATGGCTGTGGGTTTGGTTTCGAGGTGTTTTTGTTTGTGTTTTAAAGTAATTCTGGAGTCCCTGGGTGGCATAAATGGCTAAGCACTCGGCTACTATTCCAAAAGGTTGGCTGTTCAAGTTCACCCACTGGTATCTTGGAAGAAAGGCCTGGCAGTCTACTTCCAAAAGATCACAGCCATTGAAAACTCCAGTAAGTTCAACAAGGAAACAGAAGACCTGAATGAAAATATAAACAACTAGACTTAACAGACATCTACAAAACACCCCATTCAAAAAAAGTACAATAATCATTCCAGTGTACATAGATCATTATCTAGGATAGACCACATTTTAGGTCACAAAGTAAGTCTTGCTGTTCTTTCTCTAATTGTTGCAGATGTTCGTTTAAAGTGTTGATTTTGGCTCTTTCTTCTCTTTTGATGTGTGCACTTATTGCTATAAATTGGCCTCTCATC